GACAGTGCCCAGCTGAGTGCCAGTTTATAGGTCAGCGCCTCCCAGTGCAGTTTGTGCTAAGTTGTCACCAGCTGGTTACCAGTCGACAGTGAAAGGAGAACATGCAGGTGGTGTGTTATAACTTCCTGTTCGTGTAAAAGAGCAGCTGGGCCTTCTTGGGAAGGACTGTCTTTTATTCTGAGTGCCTGGCCTTCCTGCTTTTTGGTATCAAAACCTCCCTTTATGTTTGTTGAGGTAAAATCTAGTTTTCTGTGCTTCTGTTTTGTTTTAGGGGAAGTGTCATTTTTTAGCTGTAATGTAAAAGACGGCAATCCTGTGTTGGTACCCATCGTTATTTTTAAACTGGTCTCTGGAGTTAAACTCTTGAGAGAAATGGTGAGAGGGACGGCAGCTTAGAGCAGTGGCATTCTGGTGTCGGGAGGAGAGTGTGGCTGGCTGCTGTGGGACCGCAGGTGGCTTTACTGCCGTTCTGGGTCTTGTGGTCTCCTGAGGGCTGTGCTTCCGCCGTCCTCGTCTGCCTCGCCCTCATCGCTCTCACCTCTGACAGTCACTGCCCCGTCAGCAGCTCCTCTCCTAGAGCTCCGCCCAGAGCCCAGTCTGACAGTGTCTCTGCTCTCAGGGTGTTCTCACGTGGACAGACACATAGGCCGTCAACACAGGGCCCGGTGTCCAGCCACAGAGCTCCAGTCTCAGGCGACCAGGGCTGGGCAGGAGTGGGCCAGGCTTCCCAGAGGAGGGGGTGGAATCTGCGGTGGGTGATGAGAGGACAGGCGTTTCCCCAGGTGTGGAAGTGTGGAGAGGGCCCTCCCACCCTAAGGAAGCCTCCCAGCTATGAAAAGTCATGGTGGCAGAGGAGCCACACCTGGTCAGTGTGGTCGAGGAAGGAAAGGCCTGGGCCACCCAGTGCGACCGTGACAGTCAGGGCTCCTACCTGGGTTGGTCTCATTCCAAAGCCCGGTTCTTCGCACCAAGTCTCCCACTGCACCCCCAGCTGCCTGCCCCCGGTGGCTGTGGTCCCCTCCAGGAAGGGCCTCGGCACCTCTCCTCCGTGCTGACCTTGCCTGGGTGCATGGCAGGTGTTCAGCTCGGAGGGCGCCTGGCAGTGTGTGAGTGAGGCGCTGCAGGTGTTCGGGGGCTCGGGCTACGTGAAGGACTGCCCGTTGGAGCGCATTCTGCGAGACGCGCGCATCCTGCTCATCTTCGAGGTGAGTGCCCCTCCCACGCCTCCTGGTCCGGGGCTGCGCCGCGGCCTGGGCTGGTCCTCACAACCCTGCGTACACCCTGTTCTGCAGAGGAGGAGGTAGAGGTGGGGAAGCTGGGCAGCTCATCTGGGTCCCGCTCTGGAGGGCCCTTTGTGCTGAGCCCACCACCTCCTGGCGACGCTGCATGTCTGCCGAGTTGCTTCTGGCTGGCTGTGGTGGGATAAGCAGAGGTCTTGTAGGAGGCCTAGGTTCTGCCTTGACTGCTCGCTCTCTGGGTCACCTCGTCAGTGTCTTGGGGCAGCTCAACAGGGTCCTCCCTGAGGGCTTGCCCAACCCCGACACTTCTCTGACGTCTGCCCCCTCCCGCCTAAAGAGTCAGTTCAGTGAGCGTGTGCCAGGTGGGGTCTGAGGGCGAGGAGGAAGGCGGGTTGGGATCACAGAGATGCCTTTGGGGTGCTCGTGGTGTGATTGCATGGCCCGACTGACCGAGGAGGACACTGGAATACTGCTGCAGTGAGGGACCGAGGTACACCTCCTCCCAGGAGGCATCGGAGTCTCATAAAGCAAGTGCATTTGGTCCTGGGGGGCAGAAAGGACTTTGGCCAGGCCTAGAGGAGGGCACTTTGGGCTGAGGGCACGGAAATAGTACGTACCAGGCCCAGATAGGACCCTACCTGCCAGCACTGGGTGAATGGAGGGAGAATAAGCAAGTCTGTGTGGGAGCAGTGGCCAGTCCTGCTCAATGGGGTTGAGAGGGTGGATGGGAAGGGGAGACAAGTGGCCAGGTTGTGGAGGACCTTGGCTGATAAGCAGAGGAATTTGGGTCTTATTGTGAGGGTGGTGGAAGCCATAAAAGGTTTTTGAGTAGGAACTGACTTGGTTGCATTTGCTTTCTAGGAAATTCCCCAAGGCTCGGGGCGGGGGCGGGGCAGGGGAGGTGGGTGCAGGGGTGAGACCAGAGGCCAGGGCGCCCACGGGGGTCGGGAAGGGATGGACTCAGAGGCTATAGAGGATGGACAGAATTTTAGGATGGATGTTGGGTGTGCCTGAGGCAGACCCTTGATAACGTGAGGCTTGGTGCCTGAGCAGGTGCTGTGGTCCCTGAGGGCACCCTCAGACTGTCTGCAGCTGGGGCTGGTGGGGGAAGCCTCACTGGCTGCTTTTGCTCCTTGTGTGCCCCAAATGCCCCAGCCTGGAGTCTTCCTCCTGGAGTGGACAGACGCATAGCCAGCCTGAGGATGCAAAGGGCAGTTTCCCAAGGGCACAGGGACAGTCACGGTCCTGCTGCCCCAGGACGGCCTCTCCCAGGGCCCCTCCCCTCAGTCTGGGCGTGTGCAGTCCTCTGTGGCTGCATGGGGTGCCAGCAGAGGTTCAGGAAGCTCTGAGGGGTGCGGAGCCCTCAGCATGAAACAGATGGTCCCATTGAGACTGCTGAGGACGGGGCATGGGTTAGCCTGGGGGCCTCTGCGCTCCCCTTTCCTCCTGTAGGAGTCTCGCTGTCAGTGGCACAGCCTGGCTGGAGGGCTCAGCGCCCGCCGATTTTGTGGCCTGAGTCCAGCCCTTGCCCTTCTGACCCCTAGCACCATTGTGCACAATGAGCACAGCCCTCTGCCTGCCTCTCCAAGGTCAGATGAAATCGTGGGTGGTGAGGGGCTGTGCCCAGGATGGCAGCAGGGAGAAGTGGCCCTCTGGGTGTCGACGCCTGGTGCTAGGGAGCGCCAGCTACCCCTCCTTGGCGGTCTGTGGCTTCCCTGAGGAAATGGGCCTGGACCAGAGCCAGCAGCGTTGCCCAGCCCCAGCTGTGTCCTGGGCGTCAGTATCTCTCTCTACTTGGGGAGGCCTGTTTCTGCCATTAGAAGGAAGCAGAATCGGAGGTTTGGGGAAGGGATGACCCATGTGCGATTGGTCATGGAGAGATGGTAGGTCCCAGAGGGAGGCCACAGCCATTTGGTCAGCTCCCCACTCGTCCCTGTGGAGGTGCTAGCCTACGTGTTGCCCTGACCCCTTGGTCACAACCCTGCTCCGGGCTGCTTCCAAAGCAGTGGCTTCCACAGCGCAGGTGAGTGGGCAGAGGCGTGGCCTGCCCAGTCACACACGTGGCACTCCTGGGGCTGCCCCAGTGGGGGTGGCCTTTGACCTCTGTACTGCTGGCCACAGGGAACCAACGAGATTCTGCGGATGTACATTGCCCTGACGGGCCTGCAGCACGCCGGCCGCATCCTGACTGCAAGGATCAAGTAGGTGCCATTCCCACTGTCTGCTGCTTAGGTCCCACTGCCTAGAAGAGACCCTGGGGCAGCAGGAAGGGCTGCCTTGTCCCAGGAGGGGGGGCTGGCACGGCCTCACGCATTAGGCTGGAAGGAGGGAAGGGGGTGGGAGCCTTGACCGGTGAGCGTGGTGCCCTGAAAGCCAGGCTTCAGAGCTTGGCTTCACCTGCGTGTGATGAGAGGGCCAGCTGCCTAGGAAGCCCTTGCTGCCCTTCTCCCCGAGCAGCCCCCATCACCCATGCTGCAGGAAGCTGGGCTTTCAGAACCCAGGGAATGAGAGATGCCCCTCCAACAGGTGCCCTGTTCCGAGGCCAACAAAGACCAGTTTCCTCTCTCTTGCTCCCCTCGACCCCTGTCCTGGGGCCAGAGCAGTTAGGAGTCACTGCTGGAGCCCAAGTATGGGTTGCTCAGAGCATTTTGCAGACCACTTAACGGGAGAGGATGACCTAGAAGCTGGCTGTGACTTGGCCCCTTGTGACAAGCATGCGTGTGGCTCTGCCTCAAAGGAGACTGGCTGCTCTCTGACTGGGAGGGCTCCCCTGGCAGCCAGGCGTCCAGCAGGCCCAGGCCTGGGGCAGGGGCACGTAGGTCCTGAGTTGGCCGTTTATGGCTTTGTGTAGTTGGGGAGAGGGAACAGGTGCCCGGGAGCTTTGGGGTACTGAAGGGGGCCTTGTTGCTGGGCAGTGGGAGCTGGCAGCAGGGCCTTGGGTCATGGGCCATGGGTTTTCTGCAGTGAGCTTAAACGGGGCAATGTGACCACTATCATGGAGACCGTTGGCCAGAGGCTTCGGGACTCCCTGGGCCGAACTGTGGACCTGGGGCTGACAGGAAAGCTTGGAGCCGTGCACCCCACTGTTGCGGTGAGTGGGCTCAGCAGGCGTACCCCCTACCTGGGTTTCCTCCTGTCGAATAGCCCCTTCCCAGAAGGGATGTGACCAGAGGCATTGAGCATTGAGGAGGCCCAGGCAGTCCAAGGGACACCTGATGCCCCGTCTCCACCCTGTCACGGGGAGCAGCCCAGCCTGGTAGCAGGGCTTGGGCCCTGGAACCCCTGCCTTGCCTGGTCCAGGTGGGACAGGATGGGCACTGTGGGGAGGTACTGAGTCGAGTCCTCCCCTCTGGCCTTCTAGGACAGTGCCAACAAGCTCGAGGAGAATGTGTATTACTTCGGCCGTACTGTGGAGACGTTGCTGCTCCGCTTTGGCAAGGTACCTGGGCCCCTGCCAGACCTGGGCTGTGGCAGGCCCTCCAAGGTGTTTTGTAAAGTGTCCACCTTTGGGACCAGGCCTAGAAAGAAATCTTGGTCACCGTGGAGGGGGGCGTAGGGAGGTGGGGCTGGCTGTGGCTGCCCGTCCTGGAGGCTACTCAGCTGGGTGGGTGCCTTCCAGATAAAGAGGGACTCCCTGGAGCTGGGAGGGGCAGCCCCACCCGGGCCTGAATCTTGGGACCTGATGTCTGAGCCTCTTGCTGCCTAAGGGTATGTGAAGCACCAGCCTGTGGTCTCAGCCAGGGCTCCGGGAGCTGGTCTTACCTTGACCTCTGCCCAAATCTAGACAGAGCAAGGGGAAAACAGAAGGCAGCCGCACGCCGGCCTCCCACAGCACGACAGGGAAGGTAGCACTAGCCCCTCTCCCGAGGCACGAGCGAGGCTTGGAGATGGGTGAAGACGCATCCCAGGGAGGGCCTGTGGTGGGGGCGTGGGGTCTTAGGTGACGAGTCTTCTCCCTGGGCCTCTGTCCCCAGACCATCGTGGAGGAGCAGATGGTCTTGAAGCGGGTGGCCAATATCCTCATCAACCTGTATGGCATGACAGCCGTGCTGTCGCGGGCCAGCCGCTCAATCCGAGTGGGGCTCCGGAACCATGACCACGAGGTGAGCCCACAGCGCGCAACCCCATGGGCAGCTTCTTTGCCAGCTTTGTCCTCTTGCACTTTAATGAGGCTGCTAGGTTGGGGAGGGGCTCATTGGGAGGCATGGCTCCGTTAGGGAGTCTCAGGAGCAAATCAAGGGCCTCGGCGCCCAGCGGTGGTCCCAGAGCAGGTGAAGTGCGAGGTCCATGCTGCAGCTGGCCCGAGGCCTGTCGGGTTTGCCGAGTTGAGGCCCGTGGGGAGCTAACGGGAGGGTCCGTGCTGCTCGGGGCGCAGGGCCTGCGCTGTCGCCTTCCTCCCTGAGAGAAGAGGTGAGTGAGTGACAGCTCCCAACCCAGCACCCTCACCCTGTCTGCCTTCCTCACCCTGCTGGACAGGTGGATGCTGTCATCAGGTGCCTGCTGTGTATGGCATCTTTACAGGCACTGTTCCCTAGCATCCCGTGGCCACGGGGATTATGATGTCCTTCTCACAGAGGAGGAAGCTGAGGCTAAGTTGGGACAGAACTAGTTTGGCTCAGGGCTGCAATTAGAACCTAAGGCTATGACTTGTGAGCCAGGCTTCTCAGCTGCTGCCAGGCTCACAGTTTGGCTGACAGACTGAGTTCTTTGAAGCTCAGGGGTCAGACACCAGGGGCTCCCCTGTGGTACAGAGATCCCAGGCCTCTCAGGGGCCATCCTCACTGACTTTGGTTCTGGCAGGTTCTGTTGGCCAACATGTTCTGCACGGAAGCTTATTACCAGAATCTCTTCTCCCTGTCTCAGCTGGACAAGTGTAAGTGAGGTGGTGTGGAGGAGGGGGAGGGGGCCTGACTCCAGGCGACTCTTGATGGCGAACTGTCTCTGGACCCCGTCAGGCTCCTAGGCCTGCTGGCTGCTCACAAACTTCTGCCTTGAGAGAAGGCTGGTACGGCCTGCGCAGGGGCTGCCAGGCAGGAGGCACACCTGCAGATGAGGGCCCTGTCGACCTCTGCCCGTGAAGGTCGCAGAGGAAGGAGGCACTTTACCTGCCTCTTCACTGCCCGCACTCCAGCTAAATGCACCTGCCCTTCTCGCAGAGGCCCCAGGCTCTGGACCTCGACAGTGCGGGCGTCGCTCCTGCTGCTCAGGTTGTCTGGAGGGCTTTCCTCTTCTGTAGCCACTTGGCCATGTCTTAGAACATCCAGCTCCTCTTCTCCTCCTGACCCTTACAGTCCCGTTGGCCTCAAGGCTCTATATCAGGTGTCTGCTGCAGAGCCCAGCCCTTGGCCAGGAGATGGTGGAGAGGCTGCCAGTGTTAGAGCACTTGCTGAGGAGAGGGGTACATGATTCTGTGTAGCTCCTGCTCTGGGTGCTGGCCAGGCACCCTCCCCAGTGCTGACATGACTGTTACATGCTGGAGAGGGTGAAGAAATGGTTTCTCCTCCAGTAGGCTCAAACAGCAACGGGGTCTTTCATTGAGCAAGTACCTTCTCCTCACCTCTAGTCCCACAAGATCTGGAATTTTTATGGATGAGCCCTTTGTTATTTAGAATGAAACATCTGTCCCTTTTTCTCCCTGCGCCCAGAATCACTTCCCAGTGCTTGACCTTCACAGCGGGTGGGCTGACCTTATTGGGGAAAAAACGGCTCCAGCTTCAGCCATCTTTCTATTATCATAGTGCAGAAGGATCACATACTCTCTCTTTTCCCTCCCAGATGCTCCAGAAAATCTGGATGAGCAGATTAAAAAAGTGTCCCAACAGATCTTGGAGAAGCGAGCCTATATCTGTGCCCACCCTCTGGACAGGACATCCTGAAGTGGAAGGACAGTGCTCCCCCCGCCCCCAGGCTGCAGCCCACTGCAGGACAACTTGCACTCTTTTTCCAGAAGGTGGAAAACTTGGGGTTCTTACAAGTGGAACCATTTCTTCCCAGTCTTCACCTGAGGGGCTTTCTTCTGACCTGAGGCAGCCTCTTCTAGGCTGTGCCCCGTAGCCGTGCTGCCTCACGTGAGCCTGGATTCTGCCCAGAGACGGAGAGAGGCTGGAATTGCTGAGACCTGGGAGTGCAGGATATTCTGCTGGTTTAGGAGACTTCACAGTGGAAGCTGGCGCTTGCGCTGCTGCCTGCATGGCCTGAGGCTGGTGGGGACCTGTTTCGGGCACCGAAAGCCATTTCTGCTAGACCGTGTATTCTCCAAGAAACAGCTTGAAAGCTATGTACATGTCATTCATTCAAACTAAAAGCAAAATGCACTGAAAACGTGTACCAGGAACCATTTAACAAAAAAGAACATAAAAAGGCAGTTTGTGTGTACCCTTCTGGCCTTTGCTGTATTGTCACAGTTTTCTTCAGCCAGCCTTTAATTGGTGACAATGTGAGCCTGAGGTCCACCCTTTGGTGAGGACTTCCAGTGCCCTTTGTCCTCCCTGCGAGAAGAGGGCCCTGAGAGCCAGCCGAGGGGCAGTGCCGAGTCCAGGGCCACAGGGCCGTGGGGGTCGTGAGCCCTGTCTTTGATCCCTCTCAGGTGGTGGCTGCAAAACTCACAGCCTGGTGTATGGCAGCATGTGCTTATTCCTGCCTGGGCTTTTCTCTTTGTTTTCTTTACAAGGATTGGCCTCCACTCTTGAAGTGAGGACAAGAAGGTGTCTTTAGGTGGCAATAAGAGGACTTAATTTCTCCAGGCTCTTGTCTGCTGTTATTTGCTAGCTACGCTGGCTCCCATGCTGGCAGGCTTCAAGCTGTGGTCTGATCCCTGGGTGGTTTGGGGCTCCAAAAAGCCCGTTCTAGACATTGCCTTGAGGCGGGACGGGGAGGCCAGGCTCTTCTTTTCCTCCAAGTCACAATCTGCTGTGATGACAGAAATAGAAGGTTGGGGACGCTGACAGCTGAGCTGGCTTAGGGGGACTGGCTGGAGCACTCTGCCAGGGTTTTGGAAACTAATCTTCAAAAGGCAAAAGTTTACAGATATCATGGCTTTGGAAATATCGTCCCAATGAAACCAAAAGTTCTTAAAGATTTTGTTGGCAAGGAGGCATTTTGCACAGAATGTGGAGTACGTATCCTCTTGCGCAGTGCCGGGGACAGGAGGCTGCGGGGAGCTCCTGTGCAGGTGACAGCTTAAGGAGGGGCCCGTGCCCTTCTGGGCAGCCCTCAGGAAAGAGGGTTTCCCTGTAGGCCTGTTGGCATGGAAGCCCCATCAGCAGCAGGTTTTCTCTCCGTCCAGCTGAGTTTAAAAGGCTGAGGCCACCAGTTTGAGTCTCCCCTTCTCTTGTGCCGTGTCTGAGTTTTTGCTGCACATGCCGTGGGCAGGAGGCCCGAGCATGTGTGTGTAGTGTTTCAGCAATATGCACAGGCTGCTTGAAATACCCAGGGAGCTTGTGCTGAGGCTGTAGGGCGCCCGCCGGGAGCACTCTGGCCAGTGCAGCAGGCCTGGGCTGGACTACAGCAATGACCCTGAGCCTGGGGCCTGCCCTGAAGGGAGGCAGCAAGTTCCGGGCAAGAGGAGAGACAAATTTCACAGCTTGTCAGCACGTCTCCTGTTTCCTGGAGCTGTTACCAGCTGCCCTCTGGAGTCGGGAGTCGAGGGAGAAAGGAATCCATCTCGTTTTTCTGATTTGGCTTTCTGGGAAAGGATTCTCTGGGAGACTTTGTTACCAATAAACTCATCTCTCTTTATCCTCAAACAAAGCTTCTGGCTCTGTTAACCAAGAGATTTGGGTTCTTTATCAACCTATGAATGATTTTGTGGTCCCTCTTCATAAACAGAGGGATGAGGAGGAAGAGAAGAGCACTCGGAGGGGATTGGTGTGGCAAGACCCATGCTTTCAGACTCCCTTCCTCCCCCACAGAGGGACAACTGGCAATGTCTTTTAGCTGGAAGGAGATGGAAGGTCCCAGTGAACCTGGAGCCTCTGCCCCCGTCTGTTGCCTGATGGGCCAGAGGCCAGTCGGTAACTCAGTGTTGACACTCAGAAAGCCTTTAGACTTATCTTCCAACTTCCCCACTTTATAGCTAAGAAACCAGGCCCAGAGCAGTAATGGGATCTGCCCAAAGTCACACAGCAAGTTAGTGTTAGAGCTGAACTAGAATCGGGTCTCCTGAGTTCGAGCCCAGCCTTCAGTCTGTTATACCGGGCCCATCTGGAATCTGGATTTCGTGTCAGGGAAAGTTTGGACCTAACAAAATGTCTACTGCTGAAGCTATAAAGCGGCTCAGAGCTCCTGCCTGCTGACAGCCTCAGGGCCCAGCTTTGCACAGGGCTCGTCTGTTACCTGTTACAGGCGTCAGTGCTGGAGAAGGGGGCAGCTTGAGGAAAGGTGGTGGCTTCTTGTACAGATCAAAGTCCTGGTGGCGCCTGTCCCAGCTCCACCTCTCTCGATTGAGCACAGGCCTCAGCGTATTAGCAAACAGTGCGTTTTCCCTCCACTCCTAAATTGGGGAACAGTTGGTTAGGAGAGTGGTCCCTATGGACACCCCACCTCAGCCTCTGCTGCCCTCTGTGGACCTCATGCAGCTCTGTGATGGTGCCAGTGGGCAGCAGCCTGAGGTGATAGTCACTTGCAATGCTGCTGTGAAGACCTGTCACTCGGAATCCATCGGCTGTGATCCAGGCTTGCTGGGATTTCTTCTTGGCTCTCTTCTCGTCTTCCTTTGAGTCCTGAGGCTCCACCATGGCTGAGAGGTAATTCTGTGAATATGTGAATCTCCTGCCTGGTTCCTGGAAATGAAGGGCAAACGTGGGTGGGAGAGCTGGTGGCAGACTCGGATCAGGCCGCCCGACCCCCAGGTTTCCAGTGGGGTGTCAGAACCACTGGGGCAGAGTGATAATCTGAATGCAGTTTACTTTGTCAGGAACTCACTGAACTGTGCAGCGGCCCCATGAGGGTCACACGATTGGTGCGTTTGACAGAGAAACCCTTTCTAAAGTTACTGTGTGCCGGAAGCCTAAGCCAAGGCTTTCCTTCAGAGTGACAGCTGGCGTTCATAAGCAGCAACAGAATGCTCCCTGGAAGCGAGGAGCCTGCAGTGTCTTCAGCCATGCACGTCTGAGCCCTCACCGAGCATCTCTTGGCTCACGCTTGTGTGTGCAGGGTTCACATTTAGTGTGGGCACAGAACACCCCTCTCCCCGCACCTGACCCCTTGTCTACGTCCCCTGGCTGGCTGACTGGCTTTCATCCACTACTGCAGATCCCCCGCTGACATCCAGGCAGTGTGTTCAGAGAGGAAAGGTCACTGGATTAGCCCACTGCCGCTATCCTGTCTGGGCTGCAAGCATGTGACTGCTTCCCACTCTGGGTCCCTCACTCACCTTGGCCATCTTTCGATACAGCTCCTTGGCAAACTCTGTGGAACTCAGGGTCTGAGTACTGTAGTTATAGACAGCATCTTTGGCAGGGGCTGCAATTCTAATCACCTTCACTGCAGACTTTGGAGGCTTGCTGCTGACCCGGTGCACTGCCATGATGTTTTTCTGAAGAGAGACACACCAGTTGTTACCTGCACAAGGCCCCCTTACCACCAACTGCCGTTCACCAGTTGTGTTCAGTGAGGTGCTCTCTGGTACGTGGCTGCAGTGCAGGGACGAATTCTTGAATTCTGGGCTGCCATTTCTTCACAGAACCCTGCCACAGGACTGTCTAGTCCAACCCCTCACTGTCCACAGTGGGATTCAGAGGATCAGAAACTTGAGATTTGCCTAAGGTCTCTGTAACTGGGGCACACAGCACCTGGCGACAGATAGAATTTATGGCTTAGGTGGTCAGAAGTGGGAGAGGCTCGAGGCTTTCATGGTCTATACAGGGGAGATTACCACCTAAAACAGCAAGGACTGCCTGTCTTTACCATGGTCTCCTTTTAGTGCTGAGTGCATGGGGAGTGTCACCTTCTCTCCATAGCCTGGAGAGCATCTGTCGGTTTCCTTTGTGAATGAAAATAGCAATGAGGAAAAAGGAGATAAAACAGAATGTTGCAGAGAAAGGTGGCTGGGACCCAAAAAGGGAAGGAGGAAGAGTTGCCACTCTAAATTGTTAAGTACTGTGCAATGTAGCTTACCCTTCCTTTGCATATTAATTCCAGCAAAATAACCACTTTATGCTTAAAAAAAAAAGAACTTTTCTGAAAATGGTGACATTGACTCACATATTAGCCATGTCTTTAGGCCAAGCCCAGTGTCTTGACTTTGGAATTTTTGAGGAAGTTCTGCAAGAGAGTGCAAAGTAATCAAGGGAAGGACTAAATAAATGTGTTCACACACGTGAGAGAACAGACCCTCCAAGCAACAAGACCCCTGTGGCTCAGAGCAACAGGGACTGAAGGCAAAGGCAGGCCAAGGGTCACTGGATGAGGGACAAAGCTCAGCCTTTGAGCCCCTTCCAGAAGACTATGCTGGAGAGGCCATGAAAGCTAGGATCTTGCCATGGGCCCACATGTAGCTTCAATCAGAATATTTAATATTTTGTCTAGTTTTTCTAGTTATCCTCAGTGGGAGGGTTGGTCTGAATTAATCCGTCTGCCATTAATAAAAGTAGAAGTCCCCCGCTCCTTCCAAACCCTGGAGCCGGTGGGTTCCACCTTAGGGAGACCGACTGCTCCTCTGGGCTACTTCTTCCTTAGAGTTTAAAGTTAAAGTTCTGCCTGAAAGAGTTACTTGGTGAAGTGAAAACACATAGTGATCAACAGTTGTTCTGGATGCCTGGGATTCTCTTCCCTGGGGCTGATGCCTGCAGGTGAATTTGGACTCACAGCCAAAGTAACTGGATGCCTGAGAAGTCTATCCCATATAAAAGACCAGAAGCTGATCAGCTGAAGCCAAATTAGTAGAAAGGATGAGATAAGAATTTAAGGTAAATTTAATAATCATCCCTAAAAGATACAACTGAAAATATTAGCAATATGAAGGAGAAGTAAGACCAAAGAAAAAGAAATTTGGGGTATAAAAATATTACAGTTGAAATAAAGAACACAGGTGGGTGAGATAGACTGCAGAAGTGATAACAGCTGTGGGAGGAATTAGTGAACTGAAAAATCAGCTTGAGATATGCTCCCAGAAGGCAGCCCTGGATGAAAAGAAAAAATTAGAAAACCTGAGTTGAGAGGATGGAAATAGAAGTAGCAGTATCCAAAAAATAAAAGTCCCAAAAGCAGGGGGAAAGTGAGAATAGGAAAATTTGAAGAAATGAGTACCAGAATAGATAAGGAAAATACCAAGCCTGGACACACCGTTAGTGAGATCTAAAACAACAAAGGCAAAAATAAATTCTGAAAACTTCCAGAGAAAACAAGCAGCCACCTGTAAAGGAAACAGTGTCAGATTTGACACTAGCAGGTACTGTAAACAAGAACTATAACTTGAACCTAGAATTTTATATCCATTTTATTGGGAGGGCATACTCACATTTACAAGGCCATAGGAGGTTTTACACAAAGACCTTCCTTTGAAAACATGCTTGGGAGAAAATTCAAAGTGGAGGAGGAAAATCCAGGAGTATTTGGATAAAGTTAGCAAGTGATGGTGTCCAATATTCTACTGAAGTTTTTTTGTCTAAAAAGAACCAGGAAAAGTAAATTATCATAATCTAGAAGTGGAGTTCTAGAGACATATAAAAGGGGTGGTGCAGTGTGGGTAGGAGAAGAGAGAAAAGGGTTATAAGTGTGCTGTGTGTCTTATAAAGGAAATCAATATAAATTAGAAGTTTCAAAATTCAATAGGAATATATAAAAATGAATATGGTCTTTAGGATAACCATCTTAGAAAGAAAGATAGAATGTATAACTTAAATCAGCAAGCAGGAAAGGATAAAATGAGGTAGCCAAAAAAGCCTAATCTAATAGTTACCACAATAAATGGGGTAAGCTTGCCAGTTAAAGAATCTCACATTGGATTTTTTTAAACTAACAATATGCTGTCTATAAAAAGTGCTTTAGACAAAAAGATACAGGTTTGAATTAAAGGGAGGAAGAATAAAAACTAGGCAGGAAGGTACCAGAAAGCTAGAGTGGCATTCTTAGTACCTGACCACATAATTCAAGATGAAAATCAATCCAAAGAGGCAAAAAGGGATATTACATGTTGAGAAAAAAAGAACAAGACAGCAAGAAGATATAACTATTGTGAACACTTACACACCTAACAATATTATCTCAAAACATATTAAGCAACAGCTTACAGGCTTGCAAAGAGAAAGAGACATCTGTTTGACATCATTGGAGACTAGTCAAGGCTACAGCCAGGCTTTGAGGGGCCAAGAATCTGGGCAAGAGAAGGGAAACGCATTGCATCCTTTTTTCTTTTTTTTCTTTTTTTTTTTTTTTGCACAGTTTTCTCTCAAGGTATTTGCTGATTCCAAGTTGCACATGAATGAGATGAATGAAGCAGATAAGAACCCAAATAGAAAAAGCAGCTAAGAGGTTCAAAAGTTAAGCAAATACTTTGGGAAATGTCCCTGTGCTAGGGAAACAAAAATTGGATTTCAGAGTGTGCCAAGGAGGAGGGGCCCTGGTAATGTCCAAGGTTTTCAGTTCGGAATTCAGGAAATCTATGCATCAGAAGTAAGGGCGAATCAAGAATCAACCTGTTTAAGGGAATTTGTCCTTTATTTGACTGCTAGAAGAAAATTCGATCCTCTCTGGAGGAAAATATCAACAAGAGCCTCTATAATTTTTCCTAAATTGTTCCCTATTTAATAAAAATTAACACCCAGAGCAACCTATGGTTTCATTACAATCCTTATCAAAATTCCTGTGGCATTTTTTCACAGAAATAGAACAAAGAATCCTAAAATTCATATGGAATCACAGAAGGCCTGGAAGAGCCAAAGCAATCTTGAGAAAGAAGAACAAAGCTGGAAGCATCATGCTTCCTGACTTCATGGTATATTACAGAGCTATAGTAATCAAAGCAGTATGGTATTGGCATTCAAACAGGAGCAAAGATCAATGGAATAAAATAGAGAAGCCAAAAATAAACCCAAGCATATATGGTCAATTAATTTGCAACAAAGGGTCCAAGAACACAATGGGGAATGAATAGTCTCTTCAATAAATGGTGCTGGGAAATCCGAAGCACTGTCTTACACCACACACAACAACTAACTCAAAATGGATTAAAGACCTGAACATAAGACCTGAAACCATAAGACTCCTAGAGGAAAACATAGGCACTAAGTTCCTTGACATTGGTCTTGGTGATTTTTTTTTGGATTTTACGTTATAAACAAAGGGAACAAAAGTAAAAATAAACAAGTGGGATTGCATCAAACTAAAAAGCTTCTGTAGAGGAAAGGAAACCACCAACAAAATGAAAAGGCACCCTACTGAATGGGAGAAAATATTTGCAAATCATATATCTGATAAAGGGTTAATATCCAAAATATATAAAGAGCTCATATAACTCAATAGCAACAACAAAAAAAGTCCAACTAAAAAAATGAGTAAAGCATCTGAATAGACATTTTCCCAAAGAAGACACACAGATGGCCTAAAGATAGATGAAATGGTGCTCAACATCACTAATTACCAGGGAAATGCAAATCAAAACCATAATGAGACACCACCTCACACCTCACATAGTTAGAATGACTATTAATTACCAAAAAGATAGGAAATAAGTGTTGGTGAAAATGTTGAGAAAAAGGAACCCTTGTTGTAGGAATGTAAATTGGTGCAGCCTCTATGGAAAACAATATAAAGAGTCCTCAAAAAGCTAAAAATAGAACTACCATATGATACAGCTATTCTGCTGGGTATTTAACTGAAGCATACAAAAACACTAGTTCCAAACGATTTATGCGCTCCCATGTTCGTTACAGCATTATTCACAACAGCCAAGACATGGGAGCAACCCAAGTATCCATTGCTGGGTGAGCGGATAAAGAAGATTGGTGTATATATGTGTGTGTATATACGTACACGCCGTCAAATATTATTCAGCCATAAAAAAGAAGGAAATATTGCCATTTGTGACAGCAAGGATGGACCTTGAGGGCATTATGCTAAGTGAAATAAGACAGAATAACAAATACTTTATGATTTCACTTATTTGTGGAATCTTAAAAAAAAAAATGAACTCAGATACAGAGAACAGATTGGTAGTTGCCAGAGGTAGGGGCTGGGGTGTGTGAAATGGGTGGAGGGGGGTCTAAAAGTATAAACTTCCATTATAAGTCATGGGGATGTACGTGGTGATTATAGTTAACGATATTGTATATGTGTAAGTCGCTAAGAGAGTAGCTCTTAAAAGATTTCATCACAAGGAAAAACTTGTAACTATGTGGTGATGGATGTTAACTAGACATTGTGATTGTTTCACAATTTATACAAATATCAAATCATTATGTTGTACACCTGAAACTAATATAATGTTACATATCAAATGCATCTCAATTTAAAAAAATTAACAGACATGCCAGGAAACAGGAAGAAATAATGAAAACCAAGAGAAAAGATAGACAATAGAAACAGACCCAAGGTAAT